AGGACTCCTAGATCCCTTTCACACATAGTCTCATTCAGCCAGGTGTCCTAGTGTAGTCTGATACCACTTTAACTGGCATGGCTCCATGCTATGGAATTCTGGGATTTGTAGGTTTGTGAGATATTTAGCCTTCTATGTCAAGAGTGCTCTGGTGCCACAACCAACTACAAATCCCAGGATTCCATAGTATTGAGCTATGGCAGTTAAAGCAGTGTCAAACTGGATTATTTTTGCAATGCAGATCTAGAGCAGGGGTAAAGCCCTAGCCAGCATGGCTAGTGGTGAGGGATGACGGTACTTGCCATTTAACAGGATCTGTAGGACTGCATTTTCCCCACCGACACATAGATGCTTAGGAAATGACCTTTCGTACTGAAATCTGGATTCTGAACTCTAAAACCTGAAATCAGCTAACTCCTGCTCTAACCCAAGCTCATTCAAATATTGCTCAACATCCTCTTTGTACGGCTGGTTCAGGACACCATTATTAGCTTTAATTTATTCAAAAAGAGTTGTGGGATGGAGGCAGTCAACATACACTGTGACAATTATCATTTTGTTATATTACACTAAAAGCAACAACCCAAGAATGACTAGTCAAAGCCTGTAATATTTTAGGCAGAGAGAGAGGGAGGGAGAAGGTAATGGCTCCAGCTCCCCTGAATATTAATGCTATCAGTAATTCTAGACAGAACGACAGTCTGTGGTTTCAGTATGAAGGAATGTGATACCCTCCTCTCTATGACTAAACACATGATATCTTGAAAATCAGGGGATGCAGGAGTTTATTTCCTCTGCCTAAGTGATTTGAATCCTTTGTTCTATGCAGACACATAGACAGAGACATATTGGGTCACAGAGGAAAAGATTCCAGACCAAAAGCTTTCTTTTCCTGCCACCAACTTGAAGTTGGGGACCCCCCCCCCCACCGAATCCCAAGAACCCAACTGTTTTATGCTGTATCTGTCCTGATTAATACTTTGACAGTGTGATGGATGGGATCGGCATATATTTTCCAACAGCCCAGCACACCTTCTGCATGCTTTATCTGGAATGACTGTCTGATAGAAAGCTGAAAATAAGCGCCTCATAACAGGAATCCAAGATAAAATTCCATTATAGACTGAAGAGTCAATCAAGTCTGCATTCAATAGAGTGTTCATTGTGGGAGACAGGGAGAAGGGTGGAAAAACGTACACACTGCTGGAAGAAATTTTATGGGAACTTGGAATCAATCAGTGGGATTCTGTTAAAGTTGGTGGGTATAAATGTGCTACAAAAATACTGTTTGATATCCAATTGCTACTCCTATTTTAGGTGTTCTCTACGTGTGTGTGTGTCTGTGAATATGTTTATATATAGACAGATGTAGAGAGCCAGTGTGGTGTAATGGTGTGAATGTTGGATTATGGATCTGAAGATCAGGGTTCGATTCCCTTCTCAGATATGAAAACACACTGGGTGACCTTGGGCAAGTCACACACTCTCAACCCCAGAAAACCATGTGATTCACTTTAGGATCACCATAAGTCAGAGGTGACTTAAAGGCACATAACAACACAGACAGAAATAAATGCAGAGACCTAAAAGACTATCCTTTCTCAGCTCAGAACCTTCTCAGCACCCTGCTCCAAAGGCCAAACCAAATCAAATGAGGAATGACCATTAGATAGAAGGCCATTTCAGTAGTGGCATTCCCTTTATGGAACAACCTAACTTTGCTGGTACCATCTCTATGGTCTTTTCATCACTAGACAAATCTCTTTTAAATGACTCATAGTCAAGGCCATTGATTTTATTCTTTTTTTTTTTACTGTGTGTGTTTTTTTATTAAATTTTATTCGTTAAAAACAGACTACATAGTAAAGAAAACATTTACATTCTCATATAATCGTCATGCATACATCACAAATCCCTACCTCCCACCCCTGTCCCCCGCCCTACAAATACCCTTACCACATTCGTTTACATAAACATAAACATAAACACAAACTCCGACATATACATTAACATTAAAGCCAATAAAAACATAAAACAAGTGAGCTTCCTGAGCTTTGACCCGTTGTTATTTCCACTTATCTAATTTTATCATCGCTGGCGCTCTTCACTTTTAGTTTACCAAGCATGAGCAAAACACACATGCACACACAACCCTTTAATCATATAACTTCATGATTTAAACTTTCCTTGAGTGAAGGGCAAAATATCATATTTACTTAGAATATTTAATTCTTTTGGTCATTAAATCTTTCTTCTAACCTATCTAATCTCTACAATGAATTAATTGTAATTGCCTATAGCATTTAGTTTATTATATCAATATGTATTTCAACATATTTTATCTCTTCCAGTTTGAATCAATATTACTCCAATAGTTTCGTATATAGACCATGATACTCACTATTTTCTAAATAAAATATTAAAGACTCCCACATTTTATTGTGCCTTTCCCATGACTTCCCTCTCAACAATAAAGTGAGTTTGTCTGCCACCACTCAATCTAATAGCTTGTTAATCCATTATTTAATGTTTGGGCATTCTTTACGTTTCCATTTGGCAGCAAATACCATTCTTGCAATTGTAGTAGTACTCATAGTCAAGGCCATTGGTTTTAAAATCTGTGCTTTAATTGTGTTTCAGCTTTTCTTAGTTTTTATTTTGTATTTTCCATGATAACCTGTTTTCAGTTGGCTCTTCAGAGAACTTGTGTTGTAGTAGCTTAACAAACGAGGAAATTCATGATGCACATGGAAGAAATACACCTGTAGGTACATATAGTCTGTTCCTACCCATTTGTTCCTTCCTATGCAGCCCACACAGGGCATTAGCTATGTATTGGCCCAAGTACTTATAAAAACTTGCACAAAGAGAGTTTCATATACTGTATGTAGAGACATGGATCTTGCTCTTGAGAAAGGTAAAGTTCCAGCCCATTGAAATCACTGGGACAAGTTGCTCAGGACTAATTTCACTGCAGTGAGACTGAAGACTGAGACTGAAATTGGGGTGAAAACAAGTCTTGAAATTACATTTGGATTATGTCAGCAGATGAACTTTTAAAAGCCACATATGTGGAGCGCTGACTGTATCTCCACCCAGTGTTCATCTGCAATGCATGTAAGCAAAGCATGCATTCTCCATAGCCCATTTTTCAACAGCTGGAAATCTGGCTGAGAACATAAAGATCTATGTCCAATGCTGTATGAACACACACAAACATGGACTTCTTTAGCTACAGTGTTGTTAACTACTCAGGTTGTTGACCATAGTTTGTTAAAATATCAATATACTTTTGGTTTTCATAGCCATATGGCATTAGTGTGCCTGGCAGCCTAACTAACCACCAAACATTTGGCTCATATGCCTTCCCTAAGAAGCAGGTTGGCTGATGGCTACCTTATCCATCCTGGGTTTCAGTCTGAATTTTTAAAGAAGCTATCAAGGGTGCTGAACACTATTTTCAAAACAGGTTCATCATCTTGGCTATTTCTTTTAAAGTATGGATTAAAGGCCAGGATGGATTCATCACTCTGATGATATAGGAGCCACTAGCTTATATTGTTAGTAATATTTGGTAAAATGTGTAGTGGGAGGTAATCATGTCCTGCAACCCTCACTCTTCTTCAAACTGTGATGGCCACGTGCCCTCTTTTACAAAGGTTTTGGAAGTGTGTGCCAACCACACTTCCAAGGCCTTGCCAATCCATAGCTAAGGAATCTGTTGTGAATGGAATCCCTGTTTTACAAAGACCATCATCTGGAAGGGTCTCACCAGACTGTCCTCTGTTTTAAAATGTCCTCCATAAGAAGCTCAGTTTTAAAATAAAAATCCTAGAAATGGGATCAAGAATCTTGAAGTTGTCCATCTCATCAATAGCTAGAATGATCTTGACAGGGAAATGAGTATCAGATTCACAGGTTCTCCCCAGTATGGACACACTGCCTTTGCATCGGCACAAAGGACTCACACGCATTATTATGGGTAAATAC